GGAGACTGAGAATATGATGTTTGTCTGTTTAGCCCCCGACGCATACAGATCAGCCTGGATTTGATGATGGAAAGAGAGATTTTTTTTTTTCCTTTTTTTTTTCACAGAGATAGATTGAGGGAGAAAAAGGAAAACAGAGAGAAATGGATGGAGGGGCAGCGCAGCCAAGCTCTGCTTATCTCTTTTCTTCTCCTCTGCTTTTCCTGCTATTTTTTCCTCCTTCCCCTCCCATATACAAAAGCATTAATGTGCGCAGCTATGTGCTTTGCCATTGTTCTGTGTTTAAAAGCTTAAAAAGGGACGTTGTTTGTGTAACTGGCAGAGTTAGCAGTGCGCGGCCGTGTCCAAAAAAGCCCCGTACTTAAAGTTGCTCGGCGAAAAAAAATAGGCCGCATAAAAGGGAGTGAAAGAAAAGCAGTTAATAAGAGTGGTTACCCCAGAATGAGCGGGGATGAGGTTTCACATTAAAAAGATTTATCTTAAAGTATGGTGCTAATCCCTCCAGTTTTAATCCCACACACACACACACACACACACACACATACACACACTCGCGCACACTCTCACTCACACACACACCCTCTCCTCACGGCACCCTTTTCATTCCTACCGAGACATAATAAAAAACTATAAACCATAAACTTCTTACAATTTCTGGAAACTGGCAAATGCAGGGCGCCCTGATTTTACAAGGATTCCTGGCCAGTGAATCACGGAGCTCGGAGGACTCATCTCTCTCACAGCAGATTATTAAACGAAAGAGGAAGCCATGGGGTACGGCGGAGGGCAACAAGGACAAAGGGAAAGAAGAGAAAGAGAAGAGAAGGAGAGGAGAGCATGTTTGCTATGACCTATTTGATGATTATCGTGATGGCAGAGGTTGTGGTGATAGGTGGCGGAGGGGTGTTGTCATGCTCTCTGTCACACTCGGCTGTGTCATACAAGCTGGATGGATGCCTCTGTCCACTGCAAGCTGCTAGAACGAGGAAGCATATGGGTGTATGAGAACCTCAGCCCACTTCATGAATATTTGATTCATATTTCCTGTGTGTGTATGTGCGTATGTGTGCGTGTGTGTGTGTGTGTGTGAGAGAGAGAGAAATAAATGGAGAGAATGGGAGGAAGGATATTTTTTCTCTCTCTCTCTCTCTCTCTTTCACTTGTCATTGCAAAAACTCACAAGGCTTACTTTGTGGCATTCTAATCATAATTGCCAATCCTGAATACAAATCTCTCAGCGCTAAACACATTGAGTGAAATTGAAATGACAAAACGAAGCTCATATAACACTGTAATCAAAGATACATTCAGGAGGGGGGGTTGGGGGGGGGGCGTGCGGTGGGATAAAGATGAGAAAGAAAAAAGAAAAAAAAAAAAAAAGTTGAGAGTGTTCTTCCGCAACCAGTAAGAGATGAGGATCAGGGGCCAGTTATTAGCTCGGCCGGGAAACAAAGAGCCCCAGTGTTGGAGGGCAGCTTAACGCTGAACCAGTTACTGTACCTTTCAAAACTAATATGTAACCATATCTGTTTTAAAAGGACGATTCATATTACTGTGAATGCACGACAAAAGTTGTTCCCATCCCTGAGACCCAGGAAACTGGAATCCCACACACACACACACACACACACACACACACACACACATACACACACACATTCAATTGCAGGCCTGGCCTTTTCTGGAAAGCATCCAATTCAAAAAGATGGCAGCATTACATTTTTTGCAGTGATGTAAAACATCTTCAGTTTTTTTTTTTTTTTTGACAGGACAATGGTGCTTATTGTGCTTTATTGTTACTGTGGCAACTCCAAAGGTCAGCGTGGGTGTGGCCCGGGCAGACAAGGGCGGCACTGAATGAAAATTGGGTTATATGTGATCAACTAAGTTATTAATCAGATTAAAATGGATTCCCTCTGCCTGCTGTTTAACTAGGCAGGAGGAAGGAAAAAAAAAGGGGAATGAAATAAAGACAGAGAGCGAGAGAGAGAGAGAGGAGGGAAAGAGAGGCAGAACAATAGGCCAGTGTTTACTCATGCAAGAGCAAAGAAAGTCATTGTTTCAGGGGCTGAAGTCACTGTCGCTAGATGAGTTTCGATAAGGACCAGCTCCGCGAAACATGTAACCAGTTTGTCTGAGAGCATGTGCCCTTGCCATGGATGCCCCCTAGCTTCATCCAGGTAACCTCTCTAATCCTGATTAAATCACTGTAATTAGAACAAGCGGTGTTCCTCCACCCCCGTATTTCCCTAATAAAACAATGCAAGCAGTTTAAATCCGGTCGCTGGGATTTGCAACGCAACAATGCAGTTTATATCCATCTCTGCCGAGGAATTAAGTGTATTTTCTAACTGGTAATGTTATAATGTTGCCGGCTTATTTGTCTCGATGCTCGCTATTCTTATTCTTATTCCCCCTGCGGTTTGTGTTCTCTCTCTCTCCCTCTCGCTCTCTCTCTTTTTTTTTTATTTTCCCGAGCGCAACTTTGTTTATCTGAGTCTTATTTATTTGTTTCTCTGCGCTTTTTTGATGTTTAAATCAAACATGTTTTTAGCGAGTGGTCGGGATCATCCTTCACTACAGGAAATAATGCAAGTTATTTGTCCTTAATTGCCACAGAGCTTTTCAAACACGCCAACTCGCTGCCTATGTGTCTATACCTGTGTATGTTTTTTTGTTTTTATTAGTATCACTGCATGCATCCATTGATGTGGAATAACAGAGGAAATAAAAGTTGACATAGTTTTCTTTTTTTTTTTTCTTCTTCTCCCCACAACCCCCAGTTTCCCTCTCCCTCTGCCTCGCTCTCTGTTGTTTTTTATATATCTGTGTTCTTCCTTGAAGTTGCTGCGGCATTGTCTCATTATGTGTCGACTAGCTGTGTAAGTGTAGTTATTATGCCAGCGTGTCTTTGCCTGCCGGTACTGTCTGTCTCTCTCTCTCTCTCTCTCTCTCTCTCTCTCCATCTCTCTCTCTCTCTCTCTCTCTGTTGTCTCTCTCTGTCTCTCCCTCGGAGAATGAGGAGCTTTATGAGTACAACTCCTCTGAGGCGTCCTCTTCACATCTCCAGGGCGCCTGGGGAAGGGAACGTTGCATTCTTAAGAGGAGCAACTCAAACTGAACAAAGTCTACAGGAGTCAGGGAAGAAAAGAAACAAACAGCAAACTAACGAGATGGGAAGCAGAGATCATGTCAAATATATTGGGTTGGAAAGGCCAATTCATAACCTATTGTTTCATGTTTTGCAATATTGAATACGACGCACGCTAACGTGGCTATAAGTGCACGGGGGGGAAGGGTATGCAGACTTGCATATATACTTAAAAGCACTTGCAAACATACACACACACACACACACACACACATATATATATATATAGCGTATGAGCGTGGTCTCCAGCTCCCTGTAACCTCCGAGCTCCCACGCTGTCTTCACTCCTGCTTCTACAGTAATGAATAGAATAATTGTCATGTAACTTTGCAATCATCCCGCATTCGTCTCCATTTCCTTATCAAGGGCAACTTGATACTGCCCTTCATTCACTGTACTTCACTTCCAGGAAACGTGATGTGGCCAATATCAACGGTGTTATTAGTGAAGATGGCTGAGAGAGGATCACGGGAAGAATATGAAGCCTTTTTCAAAAAGGGGCCTTTCAGCAGGCGCAGCAGTTGATATCTGGGGAATTAGCGAGGGGAAAATATTTTTAGAGCTATCACATCTGCCGAGGAGAAAAGAGAAGCAGAGAGGGGGGGAGAGAGAGAGAGAGAGAGAGAGAGAGAGAGAGAGAGTGAGCAACAGGTACCTTCCGCAGGGCTTTTTGACAGCAGCTATTACACTTAATTGCTCTTTGAAAACTACACTATTTGCACTTTTGGGTGACAAGGTGATAATTCACCTCTGCACAAGTTAAAGTGGTAATATTGTTGCACATGTGAAACGGCGGCTCGCTTTCACCAAGCCTTCAGAGCTGTCATCTCTCGGCGCAGCGGAAGGCGCACAGTGAGAGCTGGGTATCACCAACAGTCGTCCTCTTCTTCTTCTTCTCAGTCGGAGACAGGCCTCCAGACGGCTTAATCACTGGAGAAGCCCCGTGCCCTCCAGCAACAAGGAGGAAAAAAGAAAAACCCGAGTGCGAGAAATAAAGAAAAAGGGAGGATCCCAGAGTGTGGGAAAGTGAAAACGCAGAGATCTGAGGAGGAGGAAGGAGAGGCGAGCTGCTGGACTCGCTTTGGTCTGAGCGGAAAGACATCAGTGGTTGAGCTTCAATGCACAAGTCAGTCAGATATTGGTCAAACTCTGGTTGAAGTTTTAATTAGGTTAAGCTGTTTACAAGAACCTTTGCAAACCTACAATTGAATCTGCTATGAATATACGACTGAGCAGACTGATGCAGTGACACGACCGCGAGGCTCCGACACTGACTCTGATCATGAGGGGCGTTTTGCAAGACAGCCAGAATTTCTGAAGAGATCATTTAGTTTTATTACAACTGAGGTCTCATTTTTTGAAATCTGGGATAATTTCTAAAAAGAAGTGAAACAGCACAACCTGCACATTAATGCGAGAGGAACTAGAATTACGGCCGTGCAGTTTTACCCCTCCGCCAACCTGTTAAGTGAAGGAATTTAATAAAAAGGTATTGCGTGTATTTTGTCACAATTAGCGCATGAATTTTTCAGAAAATGTGTTTTGGGAGGCTACTGTGACCTCCCAAAACATAATTCCTCTGGCCACAGCTGTAGGCAACGCAGAGGCAAAATAAAACGCAGCGTTGCTCAGTTCAGCACACGCAGGAGTTTTGCAGCGACAGCTTTACTTGATCTGGTATGACCAATTCGCTGACGATAGCTGCTAGCAAACCTTCGACAGATATTGTTGTCAGTTTGCTGATTTAATGATTTTTCTCACTTTTTTAGCTTCTTGTCAACATGTTGTCACTTGTGGCCTCGAATGTTGGCTGCTCGGCAAAAGTCACACATGCCCGCTTTAAATAGACCTCCACTTTAGCCAAAGGTTCTTGGCACACTGTGAAATGATTACCCAGAATGCTTGTTGTTTGCAAGGATGCAAACCATGTATACATACAGTGCTGTATATCCTCATTCCTGTTAATGTAGAGCTGTATTGTAGAAGTGTCTACATTGAACTCTGTCTTGTAGATTAGACCATACACACCACCTGCTCCCCCCTGGGATTCTCAGGTGTCACCCTCCTGAACTTTCTGACCTACTTTTAAACGTACAGAATAATTACAGCGACGCAGGTAAACACAGGGGTGTCTGGGAGCAATAAATATCCCGGCCCTTTTCCACCTGTCAAAGCATTTTGTGCGAGTGCTTATAGGTGTGTGTGTGTGTGTGTGTGTTAGAGACAAGCAGCAACCGAATTCATGGTAATTAACCACCTGATGAGGACAGTATTATTGGCAATTACCACTTTCTGCATTATCACAACTTTTAGATGCGTGTGCGTTTGTGTGTCTGTCTCCGTGTGTGTGTGTGTGTGTGTGAGAGAGAGAGAGAGAGAGAGAGAGAGAGAGAGAGAGAGAGAGAGAGAGAGAGAGAGAGAGAGAGAGAGAGAGAGAGAGAGAGAGAGAGAGAGAGAGAGAGAGAGAGAGAGAGAGAGAGAGAGAGAGAGAGAGAGAGAGAGAGAGAGAGAGAGAGAGAGAGAGAGAGAGAGAGAGAGAGAGAGAGAGAGAGAGAGAGAGAGAGAGAGAGAGAGAGAGAGAGAGAGAGAGAGAGAGAGAGAGAGAGAGAGAGAGAGAGAGAGAGAGAGAGAGAGAGAGAGAGAGAGAGAGAGAGAGTGTGGAGCTTTTATCACACAGTCAAAACAGAGATAAAGAGGATGTGTGTAATAAGTGATGGTCAGTGTCACTGACACTGTCGACTACTGAGGGTGAGCGATGTCTCACACAACTCAAGAACCGAGATCCAACCTCTTGTTTCAGCATAAAGGCCCGAAGTCTGAGTCAGACGTCCCAGCTGAGGTCTGTCTGTGTGCGTCTGCATGTTGCATGTGATCCTCATGTGTGGAATTGGGATTTTTTATCAGGTGCTCCAGTTTCCACTCAAGGATTTACTCTACGTCTGCCCCATTCTTCATTCAACCTTTACATTTTTGCCATGTTGTGCATAAACAAAAAGAATTTTCAAGAATTTGAATGTAATTTACTTGCATTAAATTCTTAATATCACCAGTGGGAAGTAACACGTGAAATTAAGAACAATCAAATACATGAGTAAAAAGAATATATCTACTTTTTGCCTTTTGATGAACACAAGCTTTGGTCTCTGTAATGTGTAATAATTGCGGTGAGTGATGTTCGTGTGTGTGTGCATGAACAGACACTGTTGGTTACTGTATCTGTGTTACACCAGCATATGTGCATCTAGTAGCATATGTGTGTGTGTGTGTGTCTGTCTGTCCTTGTGTGTGTGTGAGAAGCTTCATTTGTTATGCCTACCTTTCTTCCACTTAAACCAGAAAAAGTGAAAATTACACCAGTAATGCCAACTGTGATCCACTACATCTGCGCTTCACAGCGAGCCCACCAATCCCACCATATGTCTTTAATTATCATCATTGCTTTACAGAACCTGTTTCACACACACACCCACACATGCACACATACACGCACACACACTAGTCAGCCTTTTATTATAAGCATGTAAGCATGCGTTTGAATGTTTGCCTGCGCCTCATGAGCACACAGGTGTATAGATGTGTGTGTGTGTGTGTGTGTGTGTGAGTGTGTGTGTGTCTGTGTGTGTGTGTGAGTATATTTCTTGCATATTGTTCTAATAAGACCTCAGTGTTCATGGTTCAGACTCCTCACAGTGAAGGCAGGCTGGGATACATGCCCTCTGACAAAAGTAACTGATCACAAGTGAAACAACTAGTGCTGCATTTAGGATGAAATCACACACACGTACATGCACTTCTATCTTTGTGAGGACACTCACTAACAAAAAGGCATTCTCTAGCCCCTTAGCCTAAATCTTGACCCTCAAACAGCCTACGGCCAGAGGGGCCTCACTCTGTTAGGAAAATACTCGGTCCTCACTATGTGGCATTTATAAGTACACACACACACGCACACACACACACACACACAACAGAAGTTGTTGGGTTGGATAAGAAAGCCAATGACATCACAGCCAGGCTACACAGGGGAAAGAGTAAAATAAAATATTTCTTCACTCAGTATCTATATTTCAAATGTGCAGAGTTCTACACTTGAAAATGACTGCTTCCTGTCTGCAAATGGTGGAAAAGGTTAGTATGTGGTGCATTATCAGTTGTGATATCACCTTTTCAAGCTGCTGTATTAACTTTATTCTTCAGTTACATATTATTATCCATTCCCTCAAAGGCCTTTCAGCAAAAACCAGAGAAGTGGTGTAAACTGTGTGTTTCCAGTCAGAGATGTTGAGTGCATTGTACACACATTCTTTTTTAAATCAAAAAAAGGCTTCTAACTGAATTGTATTCTAGTTCACTGAAGACATGACATTTCTGATAGATCACTCCCTGTAGAGTTTGTGGGATGTTGTTGCAAAAGAGTCAGAATAAAAGTCAGCGATGGAAGAGTTAGTTAGCAACAGGATGAATTACAGCGTCTTCAAAATAAAGCCCAACTTCAATTAAATTATTGATTTAAACTGACAGTTTTACACATTTAAACAATTCAGACTTTGTGTTGTAATGTGTCTTTTTGGCGCACAAAAACTGAACACACGGTTTTCATTTCAAATTGGTGATTAATATTGTTAAAACTGCACTTAAACCTTATTTAATGTTAAAATTAGCCCAATCTCAGTCAGTCAAAGAGACTCCATTTGTACTATTGCTGCATTACCGTGCTCCTTGCTGTTATTTGGTGACACAGAGGCACCGCCGTACTGTATGTGTTCATCCTCTCAAGTCTACAGAAATAGACTCTTTTTAGTGTCATCCAATGTGAGTACGGGAGGTGATGCTCTTAGATAGTTTTTATCAGCGGCAACAAACATCGACAAACAACAGCACGTTTGAGGAGAACTATAGAGCTCCATGCGAGAGTACTTGTAAATTGGGAGTGATGGGTATAATTGATGAGAGAATATACAACCCCCCCACCCCCCCTCTCCTACCCACTAACTCTCTGTTTATGAAGCCTACTTCTCAAATTGCAAGAGGTGCTCAGCTATGAGTAGCTTCCTCAACATTGCTCATCCAAGTCCTACAGTTCTATCAGCCCCCCCCCCCCCCTTGTCAATCCCCGACCATCTGAAGTTCCGGTTGACATCAAATATATTAAATGAATGAGGGGTTCGAGGTAATGTAAGTAACACGATGTGCGGAGCAATGTTCGCAAGCAGTCGTGGCATGTATAGCACTGTTTGAATAATGTAATACTTCATGTTTGATAATGCATGGCTATAGATAGGTCTCCACTGCAGCCAAGTATTGATTGTGTTAAGCACATCTACAGTACAGCAAATGGTGTGGGGTTCATATCAATCTTTACACAGCACATTGTACCTCTGTAACCAGATACCTTGTCTGATTACAGAGACCTCAGGGCCACTGCTGCTGTTAATGACATTTATTGATAAATCCTCAGCCAATTTAGGGAGGTGTGGCTTAAATCTACAGATGTGTGAACGTGTGTGTGTGTGTATTTGTTATATGTCAAATTGTGGGCAGATTCATGTGCATTGCACCCCTTTTTTTTTTTTTACTCCCCCCATCCCCACCCCCCCTCCTATGGGCATACAAATGAAGAGACGGCCACTCCAGACGTGCAGTGCGTGCCCTACAACAAGTCCCATAGATTCAGAGGAGAATTTCGATATTAATGATTTATGCTGTATTTGCATACAAACCTAATGCAAACCCACTCCAGATAATCACATTTTGCCAGGTCTGAATTGAGTTTTGCGGACGTCTTTGCTGCCCCCACCTTCTCCACCCGCCAAATAACATTGGAATGTGTGGCTCTTGCTCTTCCTGCTGCGGGTGACCCCCAAGCACAAGTGCATTTTACTATGGAACAAGTGTGTTTTTTTTTCATCCAATGTGTTATGTGTGGCAGCACTGGCAGCAGTGACAGTAGTAACAATGGTATCAGTGATAACAATACCAATGGTAGCTAATGGTAGAAGCAAATCTATCCAACTATTGAAATTAAAGTTTTGTGTTTTGAGATACAAAAATACTTTTACTTCTATATAACACATTTATTTGGCCACAGGTGTCATATAAAATAAATAATCCACCGAATGCCATGTCCTTAAAGTATCTCCACCTGGGCTATTAACAATCATTATATATAATATTATAACATACATCACAGACAGGAAGCATTCTAAATACAGTTTACTATTAATTATCACATAGTTTGCGTACTTTTTTTTTTTTACTGGTAATTACAATTAAGTAGAAGTAGTACTTAGTACTTATGCCAAGGTTTCCCACCGCACTGAAGCTTTAATGATGTTCCTCACTTGTAAGTTGTTTTGGATAAAAGCATCTGTCAAATGAGTTAATGTAATGGAGTATTTTTACTTTGTGGTATTTATTCCTTTATTTAAATGAAAGATCAAAAACTTCTTCCACCACTTAGTAACAGTCTAAATAGTAAGAGAGGTAGTAGTTGTAGCAGTAGGAATAGCAGATTGCGTAGTATCAGTAGCAGCTGCAGTCGGATCAAGAACAGTATAAGTAGTGATACCAATTGCAGTAATAGCGTTTGTAGCAACAGCAGAAGTAGAGCTGTTTTTGTAGTAATGATAGTAATTATAACAGCAGTACTTGTGGCTGCAGTGGAGAGACTGTAATAGCAGTGATCATCATATCAGTCCTATTAATTCTTGCTATGGGTTTACATGGGGGGCTATAGCACGCAGTTCATCAGAGGGTTCACAGGTAAAAACTGACAGATAAATATACATTAATATTCAGACTAGAGCCTCCACTTCATTAAGCGTGTGGTAAGAGTTACCCATCATACAACTCTGGGATCCTTCCTTTCAAAGTATCATTCAGTGAATTCAGCTTGTTCTTTACTAAAAAGATATGGATACATAAAGCTTTAAACATAAGATACAGTGTTGTATTATCTGGTACATACTGTATATCACTGTAACAGAACACACAGGGCAAGTCTCACAAGGTCATGCTAAGTGCTCCAACTCACATCTCGATTTTACTTGTGTTTCCTGTAATCTTTATATTTCTATGCTACCCTCAGAGCCATCTGAAACGATAAATATCTATTGCAAGGAAGTTGGATGTATAATAAGTTGTTGGTATTTCTAATTATCATGACTGACTGACTGAAACTAGGACAAACTAACATGTAAGAAAGGCTTTTGTTCCATAGAGAAAGGGAAATATAAACATCAAGCATTCCTAGTTGTGAAAGGATCTGCCCACGTTACGTAGCTTGATTTCACAAGTAGGAGCATTCTCACACAAAACCATATCTTTATTAAAAGAAATATATGCATATATATTTATACATCAATCTTTTATTGTTAAAATAGCCTAACGATGTCAAGATATGCAGAGAGCCCGGCTCCATTGCAGCGGGTAATATTGTGTCAGACGGAAAGGTCAGATGAACACATGTAGCTGCATTTCTTCATTATCAGAGGGGTCACTATTGTTATGGGTTAATGCATCTTTTACTGTATCTTTATGAAGCCATGCCTGTAAACATGAGCTCTGCCTTTCATAGGGAAAATGCTGCATTATTTTTTTATCCACACGAGAGAAAATATTTATGATTGTGAATCGTATTTGGCCGTACTGAAGTTAACACTGAGAAAAATCTACAATATAGTGTTTCTGGAACTTAACCCATTAAGACCTGAGGTGCCCCCCCCCCAAAAAAACAACCTCCCGAAACTTGAGGATTTTTCTGAAATATTTGACGTCCATTCAAACCTTTGTTACTCAGCCTCTGAAGCAGATGGAAACATGAAATGAAAACCATTTAAGAGCTTCAACCATTGACTTTTATTGTAAATCATTGGCTTTGCCTTGGACATTATATATGGCTGGAAAAACATGCACATTTGTCAACATTCTCAGTTCAGTTTAACTTTCTTTTCTTTTTTTTTTAAATGTTGATGATTAGGTTAAAGGGTGATTATTAACAAAGGCGAGGGTTCAAGGTCTCAAGGGGTTTTCATTTCATGTTTCTATCTGTTTCAGAGGCTGAGAAATAAAGGTTTCAGGCGAATCTTTACCTCTAGCTAGTGGTGATACTGGCTTGCAGATCCTCCTCCTCTTACGACATGTCGCTCACCCTCAGCCTTGGCTAGCTGGTTAGCAGCTTAGCAGGTTAAAGTCAGTATTTGAATCTTCTAAGTTGTTGTTTTTCTTGTTTTCATTTAGGCAACTGCTGTAATCTGCTTCAATATCACTCCCCTCGCTCAGGTCGTGAGCCAACTTCGACTTTAAAAACTTTTTTTGCAGCTAAAACCGCTGATAAAACAAACAAAATACATTTCCCATAATGGATTTCACCTTTCTGACAGAAAATTCAGCAAATCACAAACCATTTCATCAGTCACATGTCTTAAAAAACAACATAATCATATACTACGTGTGTTCATCTTATCCGGTCTTAATGGGAGAAACACGCGTACGCCGCTTCTGGTCTTAATGGGTTAATGAATGTAAAAAAGACACCTTTTTTTGTACATTTTTAAATGATTATTATTTGCTAGTTTGAATTAACAATGGACAATTTCCAACTAATTCAAACGTCTCAATTTCCAGTTTGAAGGAGCTGTCACAGATCAGACCTCAGCCTCTGTCTATGTAGTGTGTATAAAGTCAGTGTTTGAAAGCTCAACACCAACTTTGGGTTTTTACTTTCTTTCTATAGAGACACTTCAGCAACCAGCCCTAAACAGCAAAAGAGCATTGTAAAAAAAAAAAAAAAAAAAAAGAAAAGAAGAAAAAGGACTTCCTTCTTCAGTCTCAAGGAGCAGCTATAACCTTAGCAGAATCATGAAAGTTGACAGTTCATTTTTCACAGGGTCATAGATCGACGAGTCTTATAAAGTAATGGGCTTTTGGGAGCCAGCTTTATGAGAGCTAAGATAGTTAAGAGACATGTGGAGGAGATGGCATGGGGAGCTGAGGTCCTGCTCTGACTCATCCAGGGTTATTCCCTGCATGCTGTGGGGTGGGAGGGAGGCGCTGCACTCCCAGTAATATAAACGCGTAATAAAGATTAATCTGTTGCTAGTCGCCAGGCTGATAGCTTCTAAACTTGCTTGAAATAAGGCTAAAATCACTTCAGAGCCAATCTCGAGACCTTTAGTGAGTGTCTGAGATTCCTATGTGGGTGTCAGGGAAAAAAAAAATGTATATATGTTTGCCTTGTGTGTTTAGTGTTTATGTGTATGCAGTGCAGGGAAAACTCAATTTGTGTTTCAACACGTGCATTCATGACTCTTTTATGCGTGTAGTTTTTCTGCTGGTATAGGTGAATACATGTGTGTGTGTGTGTGAGCTTTATAGGAGTTACAGTGACCGTAGTGTTTGAGCACACTTACCAGGTGCATCTGGCCTCTTCATGCCCCCCGTGGGTGCTCCTCCTGTGCCGCCTCCCAGGCCGTTGAATGCAGGGATGTTGTCGTTGCTGTAGGCTCTGAGGACAGACAGCATGTTCATCTGCTGCTCTAGGTGGGTCTGCTGCTCGGCCTTCAACAGTCCTGGAGGACCTCCAGGAGACAGGAGGCCCAGGCCCTGCTGCCACTGCTTCTCCAGCGGCAGAGCTTGGTTCTGGGCTTGGGGAACCAGAGACAGTGGTGCCATGGTGGAAGAAGATGCTACCAAACCGGCGCTGCTCCTTGGGGGCAAGGAGGAGTCATCTTGGAGGTGTTTGGGGTGGTTCTGGAGGTGGTCTGGAGCTGGACTTCCGTCTTCCTCTCTCTCCATGTCCATTTGCCCATCCTCATCTCTGTCCTCCTCCTCTTCAGCCACTCCTCCCTCCTCTTCCTCTTCGTCAGAGTGATTCTGTTGCTGCTGTCTCTTGGGGGTGGTTGAGGGGGTCTCATTGGCGCTGTGCACCCCAGCCTTTACAACCTCGTCATCTGATCCTGCCTGGTCCTCTTCAGCATCACCACGGGAGCCCCTTTCACCAATCTGGTCTTCCCCGGCTGAAGCTCCTCCTCCAAAGGCCTGGCTAGGTAGGTCAAGACCCTGCTCTGCTGGGGCGATATACCCCTGAAGGCCCTGGTTGGCCCTCGGTGATCCATCATACAAGCCACCAAACCGTCTGTAGAAGTCACTCTGGAAGGGATTGTAGGGCTGGTCCATGTGGTTGTTCCAGCCTCCCTGGCCTTTCTCTCCATCCCTGTCTCCATCTTTGTCAAGGGCCACACCGGAGGTCTTGGTGTTGGAGGAGTGGATGGTGGAGGTGGTCGGAGAGGTCTCTCCATGCAGCTCCTTGCCTGTATCAGACCGCTGCAGCTGGGCCTTACCCAGGTGGTTGGCCTGGAGGTGCAGAGCCATGAGCTCCAATGAGGAGGTGGAGAAGGAGCAGAAGAGGCAGCCGTGCCACGCCACGTTATCGTGGATAGTGACGGAGGAGCCGGGAAGAGATCCGGATGCAGACTCAGGCCGGACCGACACAGACAGGTCAAGTGGTTCGTACTGGGACCCAGGTTTGCCAGGCTCTGAGTTGGGTTTGGCTTCAGCCTTCTCCTCTCTGTCCTGGTCAACCGAGATGACCCGCTTGGCTTTGGGCTCACCGTTGTCGTGGTAGAGCTGGGCCTGGAGCTGGACTGGACTCTGGTTGTCCTTCATGTCTTTCTTCATGGAGCTGAGGACGAAGTTGTCCATGAAGGCCTGAAGAGAACCTTGAAAGTGGACTCCGTTTCCCATCATGCTTTGGTAAGCCCTGCTTAGGTCGGAGAAGCTAGCGGGACCTTCTGTCGCGGTTGGGACATGGGAGGAAGGGCCATCGGCTGTCTTCATGTTCTCGGCTGAGGAGGCGGAGTCAAAACGGCGGTCTCCGCGCTCACGATCTCGGTCATGCGGAGACATGATGCCGGCCGACGCCCACTGATGCGGCAGCAGTGGACCTGCCCTGAAGTCCAGGTTGGGAGGCATTCCCTTGAAAACATTACGGAGGACATCTGGTCGGGCAAAGATACCGCCGCCACCGGCTGTCTTCCCATGATCCTCTTTGTGGTCAGAGGAAGCGGTGTGGCCAGAGGATGGGCCTGAGGTGGTGGAGCCATTTTGACGCTCGCGGTGGTGGCGCTCCAGGTGGTACTTCAAACTGGCAGACTGGGTGCCGGCATAGTCACAATGAGGGCACCGGTAGGGTTTCTCTCCTGAGAGGTCAAGAAAGAGACAGAGAAACAGAAAAGGGAAAGGCAGGGAAAACAGTGAATAATTAACCTGATTATTAGATTGACTGGATATCAAAATCTATTTATTGGAGCAGGGAATGTGGACCCTAGGGTCATGTAACCTCCCTGAACAAGAAAATTAGGTCAAATGAGTTGAGCTCACAAAAAAGATATGCATTTCATTAAGTACTGTAAAAAAGAGGATATTTTTGCAACTGCCTCACTTTCAGTTGGCATCCAAACACATGTGATTTCTAACTCCTCAAAAAATGACGAGGGAATAATGTCAAAAAAAATGTCAAATAGCAATTTAAGAAGAAAAAATAAATAAAGCAAAGAATGAAATAAACTGCAAAAAACAAAATGATAATGAACAAGATCCCATGTCTTTTCTCTTCCACAGTCATCAGTTCTGCACCCCTTGATGTCTGTGTGTGTGTGTGTGTGTGTGTGTCTCACTGCATGTGTATTGGGATGTGGGTGTGGGTGTGTAGGCATCTGAATATGGGTCGATCCGGCTTGATCCAGCAAGCCAGCCATCACCGAGTGAGCCATCACTCACATCAGCACAATAAAAAACATTTCACCATATGGCGCTTTCAGTCCACTATAAGAGATAATATTTTTTCAACTGACAACAAAACTGTCTCGATGCTATCTGCACGCACACGAGCAAGGACGGGGGCGGAGGTTTCTGTTTGTGTGTTTCTGTGGTTGTTGGTGTGTGTGTGTGTGTGTGTGTGTGTGTGTGTATGGGGTCATCCTGCCTCTGTTGTGGCCTTGTTTGCTGTCAGGCCCTGACGATGAGAATGCAATTTCTCAGATATTCCCTATTTGCAGTTTATCTTGAGAAGCATAAATCAGCCACGGCACAAGATCTCCCCAACCACTGCCACACGCTGCAACACAAATATGGATGATACACTACAATGCAAAAATAAGTTGATGAGTATTTAAAAAAAAAAAGAAAAAAAAAAAAAAGAAGAAATGTGCAGGCAACATATGTGAACCACATGCTTGCAGTTGCAGTGAAGCCTTATGATAAAGAACAATATGATTCACCACAGGATACACAGATCAAAGTGATTTATATTACGGTAAAAGAGGGGTGAATCTGTTGTGTAACATTTACATATATTTATTTATGGTGCTCACACATATTCATGAATATTCTTGATAATGGTATAACACCAGCATTATTCTGCCAGAAGTGGATCTTCCATTGCAATGATACTTATGTTGAAATAGAACACATCCTGCTAGCAATTATAATAGGCTTGGAGTCTGAGCCAGCTTTGGATTCATTAAACAATGAACAGAGAGGCGAAAAATGCTAAGCTTGATTTTTTTTTTTAATTAATTTATTTATTTTTTTAATGTATACACATAAAAAGTTCCCAGAGTGGAATTTCTGTTAGAGGGATAACAGTAACAGAACAGAGAGAGGAAAAAGAAATAAAAAAGGAATGGTAGTGGTGTTTTGTGTGTATGCACATTTCTATATATATATATATATATATATATATATATATACAGTATAGGGTCTTAAAATGTTTAGATTATACACATGGAAACCATTTTATAAAAGGAAAAAAATGCATTGTTACGCAAGGCTGGCTTGAATGATTTAAGTCGGGCTGTGTAGTAAATCATGGATATAATTAGCAAATGGCATACTGCTCAAGTAATTTATCATTATTTAGAGGGCACCATTCCAGAAAAAGACTCTGCGATCTGCGGACCTACTGCAGAGTTCTCAAATAAAGGGCCACAAACACCAACTCAATACAATATTGATACAGGCGAGGAAAGAAAAGGAGGGTATACAAAAGAAAATTGAAGGTGGAAATGCTGAGGAGAGGAGGGACAAAGAATGAGGGAGACAAAAAAAAAAAAAAAGAAGGAGCATGCAGAGAGACAGATAGCCCTGACTATAGATAGAAAGACAGTGATTTGATATCTTTTCTCTTACACTAGAGTGGCTATAAAACATAGAGTATATTTAAAATAAACCATACGAGATGAGCTTTTAACCCAATAAGTGCTTCTCCTGTGAGCTGCCGAACAGAGGCTCAGTGCTGATTTAATAAGGAAACGTCCCTGATGCAAATGATCATTCTCAATTCCTCTAACTGGACAAAATGATATTCTAGGAGCCAAATTAGACAGAAATTAGACTGATCTGATCTTTTCCTTTTTTTCCTCCTCCTGTTTTTTTTTTCTTTCCTTATAAAAGGTTGTTAATGTTCATGAGAGGAAAATAAAGATTAATGTGGCATATAGATATCTGAAATGAGAATGAAAATCACAGATTGTACGTTTGACACTCCCCTTTGATGTTTACAGAGGAAGGTAAACTGAAAATAAACACACGTGCCCTCAGAGAGCGATCGGTTTGTTCCGATTTTCTATTAAAATTAAGAATTTAAATATATCTGGAGTGAGTCAGACAGACGACAAGTGAATCGCTGCATCTACTTCTGTTTACGTACGTGTGTGTGTGTGTGTGTGTGTGTGTGTGTGCGTGCGTGCGTCTGCACCATGTGGAATGTGTGCGAACACATGTTTATGCATGTGTGTCGGGCCTGAGCCTGTGTGTATGTATGTGTGTGTGTTTGTGTCTTACAGGGCCATTTGGACTGGCTAAGACATCTGCTCCATCATACGTCAGGGGCCTGGTGTGACATCTGGGGAATATACTGTATCCTGCCTTGCAACATTACACACAATTTACTGCTAAAGGTCATTATGTACCCGTTAATCCACTTTTAATTGATATCAGCGCAAACAGCACAACCTCCCAGCCACATGACAGATCACTGCCACCACAAAACCAGGAAATTGCTGTTTGGGAGTTAAAAATAGATTGATAAACTTTCCTTTTTTATTTATTTTTTGCTCTTGTCCTTCTTCACTTTTTTGTTGCACTTTGGACATTTTACTCTTGACAAAGGTGACTGATAGATGCACCACTATAGCTGTCTTAGCTTTGACTTTAAAAATTGGAGCTCATAAACATCTACATGACACCTTTGTGGCTATAAATTATCATTCTCCTGATTGCTGTACTGGGATCTGCTCCCTCCACAGTGTGTCTGCACTTCATGTTGCATGTACTTATTTCCTCTGGCTGTGTGTATAAAGTGTGACAGCACCATAGATACAAGTAAAGAGAAATACCCCCCGAAACCTGTACAGAGGGGCAATTAAAGTGGCTTAGATAGATATGGCACACTGGAGGATGAATTTCCTTTTGCCAGAAGGATGAAAAAAAAAACAAGTGGGATGTTTGACAGACTTAATAATGGATAGAAGCTGTTTTAAGAATATCTGCTTAAGTTAGTGGCTACTAGTGGATTGGGACATGCCTTAATACTGTCATGGTTAACAGTTTGACAACATATAGATGCATAGTGTACCCAATGGCAAATATGATGCATTTAAGGATAATGCTGACATGCCTGACTATTTTTCTTATGCTCAATAAACTAAAATATACAGTTCCTTGAAAAAAAGTTAGCTCCAAAAGTAGCTGTAGTTTTGGGCACATGTCACTCCAACAGCAGTAAATAGTTCATGTATTTGGGACTATTTTTAGCAATGGATTAATACACATTTTGGTGCTTTAGTGTGCATTTCCAGCACCAGGGTAGTGTAATGTGGGACTGAGTCAAAATGTTATATCACCCAATGCAACAGCATCTCATTGATGTGCTTATAATCGCTTTTGGACAATGGAGCCTCTATAGAAATATGCACCAGGTGGCAAATATATTAAATTTGTGCCATTGTATTGAAGATAATGTATGTTAGAGATTGGAAATGGAGGAAGAAAAAAAAGGAAGCAGTAAGAAAAAAAAGAAATATATTAGGAATAGATACTGAAAGAATTAGGAGTGAAGGGAGGAAGGAGGAGGCAAAGGAGTGAGAGGGATGGAGTGGGAGATCACAGGTCCCTCTTGATTCATCCTGATTACAAGGTTAGGTTAAGGTTAAGTGACATGGGCAAGTCCTGGCTCTCCTCTTTCTCTTCCCCCCTCTCTTTGTCTCACCCTCTCATCGTTTAAAGGTGAGCAGGGACTCTTATTGGTTATGCAGCCCTGCCTGAAGTTATGTGTGGCTATTGTCAAGAGCGAGGACCTTTTTATTTTTTACACACAGCTGCTTACTGCTAAATAGTGCCTTGTCCAGAAGGGGACAATCTGGGCCTCTAATTGCTGTCACTGAAGCCTAGATTCATTATGTGACTTTCCCATTAAAATGTGAGCATTAATTTGTATAATGAAATATCACCCTCTGCAGTGTGTTCATTAGCTGTGGCCCCACACTGTAGCGCCACAGCAGCACAATGTTAGCTACCTAGAAAACTGTGGTTAATTTTGCTAATGGATATTTTCCCACTCACTGTTCAAGAGGAAATTAATACTGTAACATTAGCTCTTTAACTTTTGGAGAAATTTAAATTCACTTCATTCCTTTCAAGCTGGTGTTAGTCGCTCATTAATCTCTGCGTTGCGTTGCACAATGCTGCCTCGACCGGCTTGCTAGGCAATTCCATTGTGTCACTCACATTGCATTAGGATGAAGGGGAGCTCGGCTGTCATCTGTGAATTTCTCTGCATTGTCACCAGAGCACAGAGAGGATCTTTAGCTGCTGTAAAAGTCATCTCGTGGATGTAATCAGGATGTCACAGTGGAGCTGCTATGATTAGGTTATAGGAATGATTTAAAGGCCACATATTGGGGATGCATCAAGCTGTTTTTCTCTCCGTGCGTAGAGGTCTATGCTAAACCTGTGCTTAGATAGGCTCACATCCAAAGATACATTCCTTTCCAAAAGACAACATCCTTTCTAACCTTTCTCGTTCTTGCTCCTGGATGCAGAGGGCTCCTTTTTTATTCCATTGTATTTTTGAGATATGAATGGATAAATGTAGAATATACTGTGTGGATGAAATTAGATGGACCTACTTGTCTGTGTGTGTTTTGCCAAATGAATTAACGCCAGGCCCGGGCTGAGGTCTCTGCTTTCTCCATGATAAAATATGGCCCTCATGGGTATCCTTACTGTACTACTCAAAGCAGACATAACTCAGCTCTCTCACCACCAGATAACAGATGCTTCCCGAAAACCACCACCGTCTCTATCGCAGCCTGGCTGTGACCTGGTTGTACTATTTAACATAAGGATCTTAATTATTTGAGTATACACCAGATGTAGCATGCTACAATATAAAGCATTTCCTCTAATTCCTTTCCAGATCTGAGGTACAGTATGTGTGTCTTATTAAGGAGAGCAAAAGGGGGTTACAGTGCTGGTGGTCTCTCATTCTGCCTTTTAAGTGCATGGAAAAGGAAGAAGAAAAAAAAAAAGAAGCAAAGGAGACAGAGAAGGAGAATAAAAAGAAAAGCAAGCTTTGATTCTTCTCAGCTGTGAGGGATTTCCATTTCCAGTTGTGAGAGTTTTAGCCTCGGCGTCCCTGCTGGCACCCAAGGATTATTTCATAGTGAAGTGTAGAAACTAACAAAAAGGTCAGGACGGTCAAACTCAAGCTTTTCAAGAACATCTTGAGGAATTGAGGGGTAAATGTTTGACAGAAGAGGAAATTTCTGTAAGTCATGTTTTTTTTTATTAGTGTTCTCATGACTGTGTTGGGTCCATTGACAAAATTCTATTATATTGTCAGGAAAGCATACTTTTATGCCTCTTTTCCTTAACAGACCTTAACATTACTCACTACCCCTTTGTTAAAGCATTTACATCTAAGTTACAGGTATTAAGCTGCACTCCTGTCCAGGTGATCCAGGTAATCTGTAGGTATTATGTTAATTCCTTGTTCAAGGAGGCTTTTACTGGACAAATGGTGGTTACTACCCTACAAGAAGCAGTGTGTCTTCTAACCATGATCTTTACTCAACTTTATAGGAGCTATTGCTACATAGCTAACATTAGCATTAACAGCTGTTTACTGACCAGTCTAGAAGAAAAGTTGTGAGTTCAGCATCACTTTATTCCTTTACTCTTCAGCGGTGGAAAGCCAATCTTAACTTTTGTCTCTATCACATCTTTTTCTTCTGCTAAAATTAGCACACTAAACAGCTAGCCGCGGCCTGCAGATGGCAACTCATTGTAACCTCCAATCTGCCCTGAAGATGTAGCGCTGCCAAGAGGGCGTATTATAGCATCTTGTCTTGTAAATGCAACGATGGCCGAAGCTCTTGTGCAACAATGACCACCACCCACTCCTGGCAAGTTACAAATAGCCCCTTTAACCTTATATGAGCTATGTGTAAGTTTTGCTATCGCTACATAGCCAGCGTTAGCATTAACAGCTGTTTACTTACGAGTCTTGCAGAGAGCTTCAGTCATCATGTTTACAATACAAGAAGTTATAATATGTCCTCTGAGCAGTGCTAGAGCAGCATGAACACGACAGTGACTCGATATCGGAAAGTGACAAGAAGGGCTGACTGGTCTGGAGCTAGCTGGTTAGCATGCTAACTTCAGCTTCCACTGCTGGAGACAGCTTTTGGCGAGTAAAGGAATGTAGTTTGTTGCTGAACTTGCAATGTTTCTTCTAGACTGGTAAATAAACAGCTGTTAATGCTAATGTTAGCTATGTAGCAACAGTAAATAACTCATTTAACCATAGTGTAATAGATATTGGCAAAAGGAAGGATTTGAAAAGCATTAGCATTAGTAACTGTTCTTCACTTCTTTGACAGCAAAGCGTCTTAATATCACAATTCACTCTTTCTAGTTTGGAAACAATGACTCTCTGCGGGAAAAACTTAGAGGTGAGGAATCACCTTATGAGGCCCACCAGCTAGAATCAGGTGTCCTTGTAAAGTTGTCCTCTGTGTTGTCTAATGGTGACTTTAACCTGGATAGTCAGTGGGGCGTTTGTACCTTGCAGAGGGTTAGAACCCTGGCTACTGTCCACAGTCCACATCATTACTCTGACTGCTGCCTTAACCTCCAAGCAACGACCAACATGCAGGTTCATCACAGAACTGCCTGAGCCTGGGCTGGTGAGATGTATGGGCCAGAGAGTACACAGCTCAGAGGGTTTGGACGCGTGACTGAAAAATAAAACTAAATCTATTAGGCACATCATCTCACGCGTATCCCTAAACTGTGGACAGGCCAGCTTTGTTTTGGCTTGAAAGTTATTCAGAGTTAGCGAGTGTGAAATTGCCCTCTGAGTGATGTCATCGGAGGACACTGAACCCTTGTTGTGTTAATTAGAGCTCAATGAAATGATGAGTATGAAAAAAACAGACTAACAATGGCCTTAAACCTCAGTGAGGGACACTGTTGGGAAACGTGTGTTCCTTCTTATGAATAGTTTGATTTAGTTGTCTTTATGTCAATTTGAAGAAAATGCATGAAAATCTAAATCTGATAAGAATGCACAGAAAATATCACTATGATTACATCTCATGGACTATTGATCAGGACGTGTGATTTGGAAAACCATAACCATTTGTGCACTTGATTCTTTGTTTCTTTCTTACTCTTGCATTAAAATAAATCCTGTTTAAAGGTTTCCCAGGACAACTAATGCAGTATTCATCAATTACAATATTAATATGCGATCAATCAATCTGCATCATATCCATCATATCAGTGGCAGATTTTGACTCCAATATCTGATTAGGCCAATATTCATAAACCAATATGTCAGTCTAACCCCAGAAGGAATGTCAGTACAAGTAGTAAAGTAAATTTTGCATGAAGTACAATAAATGTTTAATTGCTGGAGAAATGCACTCTGAGCCTGGACTTGGCTGGGGGGGGTGGGGGGTGTGTGTGTGGGGGGGTGATATCCTTGGACGTTTACTGACCTGTATGTATCCGCAGATGAACTTTGAGATGATGAGAGGTGCGGAAGGACTTGCCACAGTAGGGGCAATCCTTGGAGGATGAGCCCATGCTCCGCTCGCGATGCTGGGACAGAGGCGGCTGAATGCTCCCCGCTGCCTTTCCCAAGTCCTCCCCAACATCTGGAGCGCACACAGAGACAGCACAAGGAGGGAGAGACAAATTGAAGGTGTGTTGAGTGCCACTTCAAACCGCCCCTCCACACATCACAACACAACACGTTTCTTTTTTTTTTTTCTTCCTTTCTCCTCTGTCTGTCTCTCATTGTCCCTCGTTTCCCTTGCTCAAATGTGCGAACGCTACACAAAGTCAAACACATCAAACAGGTTCACGGGCCGCGCTATTTTCCTCGCTGACAGAACGCTGACAGTTCATAAGCTTTTCAGTTTCTTTAGAAACACCATAGTCCTGAGATACCCCCCTCCCCCCCCCACCCCTCCCTCCCCCCCTCCCTCCCTCCCTCCCTCTTCAACTCAAACACACCCTCCCTCAACACCGCCACCTGCACCACCACCGCCTCTCCTTTTCTCCTCCTGTTTTTCTTTTTTTATCCTTTGCTATCATCATCATTCCTATTAAGCATATGCTAGATTGCAGTGAAAATTAACAATACAAAATAAGACGGAAAGAAAGAGAGAAGAAAAAAAGCGAGAGATAAATTGGGCTATGTCAGCATCGCTGGATCTCCTCGCATCTCTTCCTGCGACCTGATTTTGACAGGTAGTTGTCAGAGATATGATAGGGTGATAACGGTTTTGACCCCGCCCTCTGCCACTTCCTCTGCCGCTCACCAAAAAACGATGATGCGTAGTTTAGTACAACGGCACTCTGTTATCAACACAATCACCTTTCTGAATATGAGTCTAGAAGATGAGTGGCAACAACCTGGGAATGTGTTGACAGCAGCATAATCTGAGGTGAGGGTGTCATCATCAGATTGTGCACACTGGCCTTGTTGTACTAAAGGTTAAGAGCCTGTGATGTGCTGACAGTCGGTGAGTTTAAAGCCTTGAGCAACACAGTTAAGTTAAAAAAGAAACAAAAAGAAATACATAACAGATGTTTGATATATCTTGTATCCTGAAGCTGTTAAATTAAAAATATCTAGTTCAAATAGCATTTGATGGATGTCACTGTGCAGGAGGTTCATCATCAACTCACACTGTGCAGAACTGTCAAGACAGATTTACGGATTTCACAGCAAAGTATAAATTCATATTAAAATATTTCTTCTTTTATTTTTAAAAGGTCACATATTTTTCACTTTTTCTGTTTTATTTGAAATTTTGATGTCCACAAGAATATAGATTTAATTACCAAAAATGCACTTAGCCTCCCTTCTGATTGGCTGATGATTTTAGCACACAGAGAAACCAAATCCTGAAAGGCTGGATGGGGAGTTCATGATGGAAGGGCTTTGGGCATGACTGAGAGCAGTGACTGCTTTGTTGTGACATCACAAATTTACAGAAGTCCTGATGGCTGGTTTTAAGGCTCAGTTTCTGAATACAGGCTGTGTGCATTTCTGTGTGGACTGAGCACTTTGATACTTTCACAGTATTAATATAGAACCTAGACCTGCTTTATAATCAGACAGCACATGGACGTCTACCTTTAGAATATATGGGACCTTTAAATATTTGTGCTTTCTTCTTTTTTTCTTTCCTTTTTTGCTGCAGGCTGCCATGTCAATATCAACATTTATTCACGTGAAATATGCACTGGTTGGTAAAGGAACCGGCCAGTGTGAGAAGTGATGAACTTTTCAGAGTACACAAAGAAATGTACAGACAAAAACCAAATCTGTCAGAGCTGTGGCTATATTTTCATCATAAACACAACAAACAGAGTCTGTGGCCTGTATGGTAAAAAAAAATAAAACAAAATTACTGAGCTTTCGGTATGTGCGTGACCCAAATAAGCACAAATACAGTTAAAAAATGTTATTTATTTTCCAATCTGGCACATGATTTGATATGTGTGTAGAGAGGAGGGGAGGGGGAAGACGCGAAGAAAGAAAGAGAATCAAAATCGAGCAACCCACTTAGGCAACCATGCCACACAATAAGGAACATTTTTTAACAGTAGCCTAATCTTTTCTCTTTTCTGTCGCTCCCCACCCCATTCCACCCCTCCTCTGTCGGGGGAGTCAAATAAGGTTTACAGAATGGAAAGACCCAAGTCAGCAAGTCGCCGGCCCCCCCAACCCCCCCAACCCCCCACCCCCCCTCCGCACTGACACTAGACACACAGCTCCATTCAGCAATGCTGCTATCAGGCTGAAGGCTATTTATCACAACTGAAACTGAAAGGCAACCTAAATGTAAGTCTGTGACAATACACAGATACTAAATACCAGCTGCTTCTACTTGGGCTTGGCAAATGTGTGGTTTAATTCTGTGTACTAACAAGGAGAGAGAAGCTGGGAGACAGGTTTTAAAAGCAGATGTTAAACTGTGGATCTCGCTTTTCACATAAATTTAAACAATACGTGACAGAACACAGAGAGAGGGAAAGAAAGAGGGCTGGAGAAAGAAAGAGAAATCCCATACAGAGAAGCTCTAAACTAGGTTTTTCCACCAGTACAGTGAGCGAGACGGAGGTTTGACCCTCCAAAAATGTAACTAAATGACTATTAAGAAAAATGTTGTTAAAAGGTAAAATCATCATCTTATCTCCTTAAATCAACTTAAAACAATTTAATAGCTTCAGAAATCTGACACTTGCATGCAAATTATATACTCAAACACAAACTGTATGTAAAACATCACAGGAGAAAATCTAATTTCCTGCATAATTTCAGCACTGTGTGAACATATCAACTGCGCCCCCTCCTTATTCTTTTTTTTTGCATTTTCATTTGAATGCATTTAAAAGACATCCTGCAGACAGGAAATAAATAAATAAAAGTGAATACAATTCCCCCAGTGCTTGGTCCAGGACTGCACCATACTGTAGCCATAGTCGCCTGCTCATAAACATATTTTGAGCGGTCTACTGTACAGATCCCCTTTTGGCAAAGATTCCTCAGATCGTGTAACAGACACTGGCCCACCTGCCCACCCCAGATGGGGATAAAATTAAAAAATCCAAAACACAGATTAGAAGCAGGACAAACACCAGACCACACTTCCAAACACACAAACACACACACACACACACACACACACACACACAAGCTCTGCATGTCTGTCTCGCTCTCTCCCTCACACACACACACACACACACACACACACACACATACACACACAAGCTCTGCATGTCTGTCTCGCTCTCTCCCTCACACACACACACACACACACACACACGCGTCCTTGTGTGTCAGGGTTAATAGTGCTCCTGTAAGTGGAAGACACACTACTGAGAGGATGAGAGTGTGCTCTCCTGGCATATAACAGCCCTTCAATAATAAATGGGCTTCACACATTCCTACACACACGCAGCACACACTACAAAGACAAGTAAAACAGAACTTTGGGTGTGCTCCATTGCTCTTTCTTGTGATGTGAGTGCACACACACACACACACACACACACACACACAAACACACACACACCTATAGGTACGCACACGTGTGAGGACACACGTCACAGCCCAGGCTCTAGCTGGGTGTCCAGCAGCATGCTCGTCTTTTAATCAGTTGACTGATCCGCAGCTTTTAATGTGGCTGTTCCAATTACTGTAAAAGTCATCCTGCTTCATATAACCGCAAATATTGACACTTTATTGCACAACACATTTATGACATTTTGAAGGTCACCCTGTATATTAGGCATCATCGTTCACAGCTGGGTGTGTGATGTGGGGAGAGACTCTCGATCGCCTGTTGACACCCAGCCGTAACAATCCTCCGAGTATTGATTTTCGTTCCCTGTCTTCCATCCTTTTTCTTTTTTTTTTTTTTTTTTATGCAAAGAAGATTCACTGTAGGAGATGCAACATTAAAGTGATTGTCACAGGTGAGCCTCTGGCTTTTCATATACAAGCCTGTAAAGGCCAGCTACTATCACTCTTCCACTTTACTCACACTATTATACAATTGGGAATACTCCACTTATATTGAAGAGCTTTATATTTTACCATTTCAATGTTGACAAATTGTTAGAGCTGCTTTAAGTTTGCGTTTAAAAAGACAAACACTGACATTAGGGCCTGATTTACGACACTAAAAACATACTAATAAAAATTATACAGGGTTAGGAGGTTTGCTGCTTTCTAAACTGATATTTTATGATGAAAACACATTTAAAATGATATAAACAAATTAATAAAAAGTGCAATGAAAATAGAAGAAAACCATTACATTTATTTGACGTTAAATTTTTTTCTGTAACTTTGAAAGATGAGGATTCTTCACTATATCACAGACAAACCAAAACAAAAAAAAAAACACTGTCTAGAATTATTTGATATTTAATATTTGACATTTAATAAAAGATCAGTATTTACCAGCCCATGCATCTCTCTCATCTAAATTTGTTGCAAGTGTCAGAGGCCCCTACGGAGTTGACATGTTTTATTTCAGCCAGACCTCATTTTCTGGCATTAATCCCCACAATAGATCATAATCCATATCAAGAATAAAAACCACTCATCTTTTAATTAAACATTCAAGCCACTACTACTTCTTTTTTCATTTTTTTCCCTCCCCAAATTCTCCCATCAAACTCAAACATTCAAACTGTTTGAATCTGTCGTCTATGAACCTCTCTCGCCTCTAACCCAGGAAAAAACATGACAAATGCAGAACTGCGACTGTGCTAGTACAAGAATATCACAGAGGGGGGAAAAAAGAGAAATACATGTATAATTCAGCTGTATCTGATCTGAGACCAGCTCCTCTCCCCTCTGCCTTTACTGGTGTCACGGCGGCATAATGGAACATGCCAGAACAAAGGCTCTGAGATCAGATTGGAGCAGAGTTGAGCAGGCCATCTGGGAGGCAGGCTGAGTATCAGTCACTCTGCCTGCTGTCTGCTGCACTCACACTCATGTACACACACTTCCCCTCTGACTAACTGTGTGCGAGAGTGCAACTGCGCGCGTAAGTGTAAGTGTGTCTGTCTGTCTCTCTCTCTCTCTCTCTCTCTCTGTGAGTGTGTGTGTGTGTGTGTGTAAGAC